ACGCGGGAAAAGTATGTCTTATTACGTATGTGCATGTGAAATGTCCTTTAATTTTACGGGATCACTTACACAACGTATTTTTACATAAAAGTGTGACCGCTGAATACCCCCACACTCCGCCCGGGCGTTAATTTTTCCCGTCTCATTGACTCATTGACTCATGTTGACCGAATATTCGGGGAGAAATACTGCGTGATGAACCCAAAGAGCGTTGCCCGTTTCCTGGCTCTCGAGAACCGCTGGCTATGAAGGCTGGAAGGTAAATGCTAATATTTTGCCATTTGTGGATTGAAAAAAAAAGGTGTCTTTGATTATTAGGGACGTAGATCAGCGGAGAGTTAGTATGTTTAAAAATGGGTAAAGGTATTGATTTGGCGAATAGTCGCGAATAGCGAATGGCGAATAGTCGCGAATAGTGCGAATAGTAGCGAACAGTCGCGAAAAGTGGCGAATAGTGAGGAATAGTCGTCAATAGCAGGTGTCAATAGTCACCGATCTAATATCCAGGGTGAATTAATTATCCAAAGAAGCAACAGAATTTCAGTGAATGTATTACCTTTTCTTCTCCGGACTCAGGCTAGTAGGCTGTCCATCGCCGACATTAAGAAAACAGAAAACACAAGGACAACCTAATAAAGACGCATTTACGCTTTTGCAGCGGTTAAAACAGACGAAATTACGTTTAGAAACACCTTTTGTCATGATAAGCGTCTGTGCTTTCTAGCGGAAAAATCCCATCCTAAGGTGCTACGAGGTTAACTGCGAGATACTGGGTACCCTATTTGTTATTATTTGCCACTATTTGCTACTGTTCGCCACTATTCGACACTGTTCGCCACTATTCGCACTATTCGTACTATTCGCTATTCGCTATTCGGGACTATTCGCTGTTCGCTATTCGCGACTATTCGCTATTCGCTATTCGGGTTTTCGTCGTGTTTATAGTCGCAGCCTATAGTTAATCGTTAGTCGTTCGGGAATCAAACCCATTCGAACTCACTTTCACTCCATGAATTTCGGTCGAGTCGGTAGTCAAACTTAATATTTTTACAAGTTTTCGAAACCGAAAGTGGCTTTACTGAAGCATGGAAGTTTTGAAATCTTGTGTGGCAAACAAAGCAAGTTTTCATTTGGGGTCAGGTAGTTTTTGATCGACATCGGTTGTTCTTGTGTTTTACAGCAAAAAAAATGCTTAGCTGAACAAATCGACTGCATTTTTCAAAACTCGAGTGATTTCAACTGAATTCTCAACGAGGCTTATAAGAGTTAAGACCGTGGAATAGCAAATAGTCGCGAACAGCGAACAGCGAATAGTCCCGAATAACGAATAGCGAATATTAATAATACGAATAGTGCGAATAGTCTCGAATAGTGCGAATAGTGGCGAACAATCTCGAATAGTGGCGAATAGTGGCAAATAGTAGCAAATACTAAGGGTACCAAGTATCTCGCAGACAACCTCGCAGCAACTTAGGATGGGATTTTCCCGCTACAAAGCACATACGCTTATCAGGACAAAAGGTGTTTTCTAAACGTGATTTCTTCTGTTTTAACTGTTGCAGAAGAGTAAATACGTCTTTATGAGGTTATCCTTGTGTTTTCTGTTTTCTTAATGTCGGCGATGGACAGCCCTAGCCTGAGTCCGGAGAGGAAAAGGTAATAAATTCACTGAAATTCTGTTGTTTATTTGGATAGTTGATTAACGCAGGATATTAGATCTAAAGCGGTGACTATTGACGACTATTCGTCACTATTCGCCACTTTTCGCGACTGTTCGCCGCTATTCGCACTATTCGCGACTATTCGCTATTCGCTATTCGGGTTTTCCAGACACCCTTAACAACCTTGACGCTCCACTTGCACTACCAGTGCCACTAGCACTGCTGCCACTTTCATCTTTCTTTGAGCCTTCATCGACACTAGCTTCCCGCTCGGTGACGTTCTGCTTTTGACGATCTCCACATTTGTGACAATATTTGGCCTCAAGTGGACAGTTTTCCCCACAAGAAGAGCACAACGTTTTCAAAATCGAAGGGAAACAATATGGCTTCCATGAAAACGTGGATCGGTCCAGAACTCCCCAGCCATGATTCGTGCGTATTATATTTTCACTTAATTTTTGCAGCGACTTCTTTTTATTTGTAGCAAAATTTTATTTTTGCAGTAGCTTTTATTTTTACAACAACCTTTATTTCTGCAGCAACTTTTAATTTTTCAGCACAAACTTTTTATATTTGCTGCAACATTTTTTCAATTTGCAGCACATTAAAAGCAATTGCAGCAAGTACCTTTGTTATGCAGCAAGTTTTATTTGTTTGTAGAAAATCATTTAAAATTGCAGCAACTTTTAAATTTGCAGTGCAAATTATTAAAAATTGCAGCAACTTTTTAAATTGCAGCATGTCCCCTGTGGGCCGCCGTACCTTATGGGCAAATATTTTAGCCCCGCGAAGCGGAACATTTTACTTCAGGCCCCAAAATATGTGATGACCCGAAGAACCATGTATAACACACCTATTAAAAATTAATCTCAATGCGCCACTGATTACAACTTAAAACAACTCTGATACATTTTTAGTAACGCAAAGCACTAAGCATCGTCCTCGCCCGCGTTTCCTAATCTTTGCTTATTACTAGTATATTTTGGTAATTTTTTTTCAGTCGAGGTAAGGAACCCAATCGCTTGAAAAGTGTGTTCGGGTTCTCCTTTCTTCGAGTTTTAAGTCAGCTTGCCCATAGGAAAATTATATATGTCCGCCCGGCTCTTCAGAAAGAAATTTACAAGTTACCCCCCCCTCCCTAAAGGTATGAGTTTACATCGTGCCACCCTCCCCCCTCGGCCACCTGGTCTTACAGCCCCATTTCTGATAATTATTGCTTAGTCCCTAATCTGGGCAACGTAGCAATAGCCTACTCGGCGATGTCTACATGCCAGAAACGGGACACTTACTTTAGGTTGTGAAATGAAACGGTTTTAACCCTTTGAATACCAACTACGCATATACGTAATTAATGGTCGTGCTCTTTGTACCACTTGTGACGTCACAATTTAAATGTCATCAGATATTCTTGATAAGCAGATAGTAGTGCTAGGCTAGGCCTTTCCGTACAATGGTCAGGTTTAGATATCGACGACATTCCGACGTCGCAAATCGAAAAACAACGTTATCAGTTTTGGTGCAAAAACGGTGGTAAAATGGTCTACTATGCCTCTGATTGATCAAGGTCCATTTCTAGGCTTCGCCCGTAATTAACATCCAACTTTTCACGGCAGCCAGAAAGAACATACAACGCAAATTTTGGCTTATGCGCATGCCCGGAATGGAAATTTTGCTCAATTTTGTACCTAATCCTCGAAAAATCTCTCCTTTTAGTAAAAAAAAAGGTTTCTTAGCAAAACTTAGGCTTATTTAGCGTCCTGGCAGCTAAAAAACCTGACTAAACGGTTAAAAACGGAATTTTTTGGCGAAAGTTTGGTATTCAAAGGGTTAACTAATACAATTTAATTCTCAGCGTCTAAAGAAAACTGGTTTGGCAGTGTTACACACGAAATTGGACAATGGCGTCCCTAGCTGATGTGGCATTGCATTCAACGGATGGAAAGGCATATTTCCAGCGGTTAACACGACTCCTCATGTGTGGAGGGGTAAAACTTTTAAGAGAAAAGTTCGATTCCATTCATTCACCTGCAGATCTTCCCCTCAAGCTAAGTGCTCCCGCTGTAAAGAAACAGCTTAAAACAGCAAAGCTCACCAAACCAGAATGGCAATGCCTTTACCCTGCACCGGGAGTTTATGGTCAGTCAACCGATTTTGACATTACCCTAATCTTCAGACTGTTTAAAACAATATGCAGCCTTACTGAACCTGTTACTGGATGGGACAATTTGCCAAACAGTGCAGACCACATCCTTGAAGCAGATTTAGCACGGATAAAATACTACCGTAACTCAATTTATGGTCACAATCATAGTATGGAAATAACAGAGGCCGAATTTTCTCGGCTGTGGAGTGAAATAAGCGACGCTCTATTGAGAATTGCTGATAGCATAAGTAATGCAAAGAGAGATGAGTGGGAGCAGTCTATCAACAAATTTTTGCGCGATCCTTTGACACCAGAGGCAGAGAGAGACGTGGAAGAGCTTCAGTTATGGTACAAGAATGACATGGATGTTAAAGATAGAATGGAACTGATGGAAAAGGCAATAAAGCAACAGACTCTTCAACAAAGAGAACACAACGGTATGAAAAAATAATTGTTTTTTCACCCAATCACCTTCACCTAAAACCAGCTTTTAAAAAATATCATATTTCAAACTACCTTGTTATAGAAAATCGTGAAAAGCCAGGTAACTTAAATTGGTGTCACTCACTTAAAAGTTATTTTATCACAATATAAAATATAGAAAGGCGTGTTTGTTTCACATTCTATTGGGCTGCACGTTGGATCTATACCATAAGGCACATAAAGAAGAAGACTGCTATCTATTAACACACTTAGCAATTAAAGAAAAGGGGCGTGTTTAAATTTCTCGTGTATCAGTANGACGTCGCAAATCGAAAAACAACGTTATCAGTTTTGGTGCAAAAACGGTGGTAAAATGGTCTACTATGCCTCTGATTGATCAAGGTCCATTTCTAGGCTTCGCCCGTAATTAACATCCAACTTTTCACGGCAGCCAGAAAGAACATACAACGCAAATTTTGGCTTATGCGCATGCCCGGAATGGAAATTTTGCTCAATTTTGTACCTAATCCTCGAAAAATCTCTCCTTTTAGTAAAAAAAAAGGTTTCTTAGCAAAACTTAGGCTTATTTAGCGTCCTGGCAGCTAAAAAACCTGACTAAACGGTTAAAAACGGAATTTTTTGGCGAAAGTTTGGTATTCAAAGGGTTAACTAATACAATTTGATTCTCAGCGTCTAAAGAAAACTGGTTTCTCGTGTATCAGTAAATACCCCATCGTGTCTCATTGTGGTACATACATGGCTTTGGATACTTC